CTTTTTGGCCTTGCCCAGTGTCATGATGATCCACCAGAATTCTGTGCATTATTTGGTATGTTTTCACCGTGGCCCAGCAAGCACTGGCTTAGAGGCCCTGTATGTCCTGCATTTACCAATGAGAAGAAGATAAGAGGGAGTGGGGGCCGTCTGTTCATCTGTACTTGGCAAGGTGAGCTGGTAGTGCCACTCTTGACATGAAGGAGCTACTTAAACACAAATTGGATTAGCAGGACAGGATTAGAGACTGCTGGAAGGTATTAGATACTCATAAACTGCTTTGTGGAAACTCCTATTGTTTTCATTATAAGCCCATACTTCTATAGAGGCAACCGAATGAATTGTGAAATTAGTCTAGTAATAAAAAAGAGACAAAATGAGATATGAAATGAACTGACTATATTTTCATAATTCCAAGAAGCTGAATTGGGCAATAATTAGCAAAACTACAACTAGATAATCTGAAATAAGAGTTTTATATGTATTTTTTTTTTTTTTGTGGTTGGTTGGGGGAGGCTAGGGATTGAACTCAGGGGCAAACAACCACTGAGCCACATCCCCAGCCCAATTTTGTGTTTCATTTAGAGACAGGGTCTCACTGAGTTGCTTAGCACCTCACCATTGCTGAAGTTGGCTTTGAACTCACGATGCTCCTGTCTCAGCCTCCCAAGCTTTAGGGATTATAGGCATGTGCCACCATGCCTGGCCTGTATTTTTTCTTAGTTAAAAATAAACACACTTCAAATGGTCCCTACTCTCTCCTCCATAAAGAAGAAAAACATTCAAATAAGAAAACTGATTAAGAAGTGACTTTAACAATGGAATGAGATGGACATCATTACATGTATGAAGTATATGTATGAAGACACGAATGGTGTGACTCTACTTTGTGTACAACCAGATAAATGAAACATTGTGCTCTGTATGCATAATATGAATCACGATGCATTCTGCTGTCATACATAAAAAATCAAAATTAAAAAAAAAGATGGACAGGGGCTGGAGTTGTGGCTAGGTGCTAGAGCGCTCTCCTTGCACATGTGGGACCCTGGGTTCGATCCTCAGCACCACATAAAAATAAATGAATAAAATAAAGGTATTGTGTCCAACTACAACTAAAAAATAAATTTTAAAAAATGGACAGACAAAAAAAAAAATAAGTGACTTTAAGAAAAAATAATTTGAGATATATAAGAAATTTCAGGCTTTTCTGGACATTTCGAGTGAATTGAAGTCCCAGGTCCAAATGAATCACGATCCCAGGATGCTGAAAGAATTTTCATATGTAAATCCAGAGTTCCTGTTATTAGCCTTTGAGAAATCATGGAGAATGGAAAGCTGACAAAAGATAGCTAGTGCACTGGCTTTCCAAATAGGGAAGAACAGGGAATCACAAAACATGCCAATGAGGAGCGTGAGGCTGATTCCATCAAAAATTCTTGGAAATTCAAGTTTTAGTTCTGCCATTTAATGATAATATAACCTTGGACATATTTTGAAACTTTGCTGTAAGGATTAAATGAGATTATATATGAAAATAATACATAGAATATAGGAATACTAATCTATGCAATATGGCACCTGTTACAGAGAAAATTCTCAGTAAACCATTTTCTTTACTTCTGCCACTTCAAAAAGAGGCAGTAACAATTAAGTACTGAAGTGGATTCATTAAGAATGACTCTTATCTACCTGACCTCATTTTTCTAGTTAAAAATAAACACACTTAAAATGGTCCCTACTCTCTGCTCCATCAAGAAGGATGGAAATTTTTCTAGTGCTGGGTGAAAAGATATTCTGGACAGGTACCTTGGGAATGCGCCTTATTTTTTTTTTAATATTGAGTTTCCAAATTTATTTTTCATAATAAGAGAAGGAAAGAGAATAAAAGGAAGAATGCTGAGTCAGTGTCATGTTGGTTATGTTGACTTTCAAATTTTAATGTGCATAAAAAATGTATGGGAAGCTCTTAAAAGAGTAAATTAATGCACTTTCCTGAAGTTCTATCTTGTCAATTTAGCATAAAGTGCAGGACTTTTTGTTTTTGTTTTTTTGTTTTGTTTTGTTGTAATTACAAGAAACCCAGGTGATTTTTTTAAGACATTTTTAAAAATATATTTATTTATTATGTTTTATGTGGTGCTGATTGAACCCAGGGCCTCACACCTGCGAGGCAAGCGCTCTACCACTGAGCTACAGCTACAGCGCCAGCCCCCAGGTGACTCTTGCAGAGGCCATGGCCGGCAGAATAATGCCTCCCTTGCTCCCCAAAGAAGCCCCTGTCCTAATCCCTGGAACCTGTGTATGTGCTACTCAGCATGGACAAGGAACTTTCCAGATGTGATTATAATTGAGGACCTCAAGCTAGAGAAGAGGAGCCTGGATCCTCTAGGAGTGTCCAGTCCACTCAGATGAGTCCTTAAAAGCAGAAACTCCCAGAATGTGTACCCTCATTTTAAAATGGTATTTGATGAAAATCTCATAATATCCTCATGAAAAGACTGGATTTTTTAGGTGTCAGGTGACTGATTAACCACATCACCAGTTTTATTCATTATTCTTTATGCCTCGGTTTCCCAATTTATAAAAGAAATATAATAGCAATACCTCATTGGGTTGTCATGCAAATTACAGTGCCTGGCTTTTAGCGAGCACCACATAAATATTTGTTAAATAAACAGAGGTTCTTAGGGGCAGGCTTATGCTGTACTTGGCTCCAACCTCTTCAACAGGTTCCTCAGAAACTTGTTAAATTTTCATATAGTGTGCTCGTCAAATTCTCAGATGATATTAATGTTGAATGATAAAATCAAAATTCAAAAAGAACTTGACAGGCTAGGGGGCTATGAAATGAAATATGAGATTAATTATTTAGAAATAGAAATTTTAAGGAAAAAAATAATTTTTTATAAGTATTATCCTGGCTTATCAGAACTTTCTGTGAATTATGATGGAAATTTTAGTCCACTCCAGATCAGCGTGCAGAAGAGTGTGTGTCTAGCAATTAATGCAATGTAGAGCTGCATTAAGAGAATTGGAATGTCCGAATAAAGACACTGGACAAAGATGACACTCCACGATGGCAAGCACAGCCTGCCCACAGCTAATTCCTCTCCCCTTCTCTTCCTTGGGTTCCTCCTCAGTCGTAGCTCAGCTGTTACTACTCTGGATATGATGATGGCTGAGGACACAGATAAGCAGTAAGGAAATGTAAGGCAGAAATAGATCACCTTTCCATCTCATCTAGGGGACAGGTAACATCCTCAGGTGAGTCTGAGGGAATAGCCTCAAGATTTGCAAAGAAATAAAATTAGAACTTTATCAGGGCTCCTAATGGCTCACTGTGCTACAATGCTAAAATAAATTCCTCTCTAATCATGATTACTGCAGGCTTTATCTAATCTATTTCCTATAGGAAATCAAGCTACTCCCAGACATTTATCAACTTTTTTCTCATAATAATCCCTGTCCCTGACAAAAGAAGATATTGTTATCCCCACCGTATAGATAAGAAATTGAAGTAAAGAAGTAAAGTGAATTGCCCTGGGTCACACAGAACTGGAATTACAATTTACTATCTAATCTCAGAGTGTGCTACATGAGTTTTGGGAGGGAGCATACTGGAATCATATTATATCCTTAAAAAAAAAAAGGCCTATTTACCTTAATCTCTGGGAAAAAGAAGATTAATTGTATTTTCCTTGGCACATGCCAAAGATGTTGAGTAGAGGCTTTAGATTCCACATGCTTATTCTAATCCTTTTCCAAATACTTGGAAAGCCTTGGTTTGACTACCAGGAAGATGCAGGAAATTAACTTTATTTTTTTAATTAAGGCAAATATTTGTTTGCTAGAGTCTCCAAGGAAAGCAATTAATTCAGAAAGTTGTATAGTACAGGCAGGTTATTCAGATCACCTGGGGCCCCAAACAGTCATGAATCCAGATGGCTGGCTCCCTCCATCCCCTAGCCCCACAATCCATTCCCAGCCCAACCACATTGTCCAGGGACTGGCTAGATAAAGGTCGAGTGCAAGAATGTTTTGAACCAAAAGAATTCCATGCAAACATGAATGATTAACATAAAGATTTACATATTCCACCTAATTATTGAACACATCCACGTTTACTGTACAAATATGAAAAAATAAAGTTAAGCAAAACAAAATGAAACTAAAAGCATCCACCATGCAATTACCAAGTAAGAACCTTCTGCACCTGTTCACAAACTGGAAATTCTCTAATGCTCATTTCTCTGATAGGCCATGAGAAAATCAGGCAGAACTGCATGCAACTCAAAGGTTCTGTGTGAGGCGGTGACTTATCCATGGAAGACTAGCAGTTATTTTCTTAGCGTTTGTCTCAGACATTAATATTAATTATTATTAATTAATTAATTAACATTATTAATATAGCTGGTGGTAAAAAGAAGAAATGGGGGGCTGGGGTTGTGGCCCAGGGGTAGAACACTTGCCTAGCACTTGTGAGGTACTGAGTTCAATTCTCATCATGACATAAAAATAAATGAATAAAATATATTGTATCCATCTCCAACTAAAAAAAATAAAAAATTTAAAAAAGAACAAATAAATTCCTTGATTGTACTCTGTTGGCTTGAAAAGTTTACACTACAATTCTGGAATTATATAACTCATTTGCCTAAACCAGAAAATATCAGGGCCAAAATTGATTGTCTATATCTATACACACAATCATCACATGTATTGACTGTCATGATTTAAAAATATATTTTAGGGGACTGGGGTTGTGGCTCAGTGGTAGAGCACTTGCCTAGCACCCATGAGGCACTGGGTTCGGTCCCCAGCACCACATATAAATGAACAAATAAAATAAATAACAAATAAAATATAAAATATATATATACTGAATCCTAATCAGTAAACCATGAGTACAGTAGAATTTTTCCAAATAATGGGCAATGCTGCCACAAAAATAGTGGATTTCAATCCATTTCTCCTCCATCTGAAAACCAGGCCATTACCTTTTTGTTGGCAGCCACACCATCCTCACAGTCAAGCACCGCACAGTCCACGTTCAGGGATGGAATCTTCTTGATTTTCTTTTCATCATTTCCAGGCACATAGAGCACAGCCCTCCGAGGAATGTACTTGTGATTGGGCAAGGAACTGTACCCAAGCCTGGGCACGTAGGCTGCCAGGGATGCTTTCCTGTAGGAGACATAATTGAAATTAGTCCACAATAGAACCTCTGTGTTTCAAAACTATGAAAAACTTATTTGATGGTTTTAAGGCAAAATTAGAACACATGGACAATCTTTCAAGATCATGACAGAACACATTACAACTAGGAAAACACCAGAAGAAAAATAACTAAAACAAAATGTCATTTTGGATAAGGTTTTTAAAAGAGCACTATTGGCATTCTCGTCTGACAGAAGGAGAAAGGTGTGCCTATTTCTTCTTGGAAAAAACTTCCAGTATCAGTGTACTGTCCAGATGGTGACCATGGAGAAAAAAGTGAGAACCATATATCCAAAAGGTACCAAACAACACCACATGTTGAAAGTCCTTCATCTGAAATGCTTGGGACCAAAAGTGTTTGGTGCTTCAGACTTTTGGAATCTTGGAATTCTGGATACATAGAATGAGAAATCTTAGGGGTTGTACCTAAATATAACATGAAGTTAATTTATATATCATATATGTCTTATATACAAAGCCTGAAGGTAATTTTGTAAAATAATTTTTCAGTGCTGAGGATTAAACCCAGGGCCTCATACATGTTAGGCACCCCTGGCACAATTTTTTACAATCAACATCCTACCTTTGCGAGTTGAAAAACTAGAAAAAGAAGAAAAACATTACACTCATAACTAGCAGAAGGAAGAAAATAATAAAAATAAGAGCAGAGATAAATGGAATAGAGAATAATAAAGCAATAGAGAAAATCAATGAAACCAAAATTTGATTGTTTGAAAAGATCAAGAAAATTCACAGACTTTTAGCAAGATGGACTCTTTAAGTCACTTTTTTGGCTGTTGTGACCAAAGACCTGACAATAACAATTTTAGAGGAGGAAATTTTTTTTGGGGGGGTGGTGCTCATGGTTTTAGAGGTCTCAGTCCTTAGACATCTGACTCCATTGCTCTGGGCCCAAGATGAAGCCACACATCATGCGAAGGGTGTTAAGGAAGAAAACATCTGGGAACACGGCACCAGGGTGCAGGGAGCAAGACTCCCCTTACCTCGGAAAAAATCTGCAACCCAAAGGCATGCCCCAGTGACCACCTTCTCCAACCACACCTTGCCTGCCTATAGTTATGACCAAGGTAATTCCTAATCCAGGATTCATGAACTAGGGTAAGTCCCTCATAACCCAATCATTTTACCTCTAAGCTTTCTTGCATTATTTCATACATGAGCTTTTGGGGGACACCTCATATCTAAACCATAACATGGACTAAGGAAAAAAAAGACTCAAATTACTAAAATCAGTAATGAAATGGGAATAATACTAACAATGCGAGGAAACAAAAAAGATCCTAAGATAGTACTATGAACAACTGTATGCCAACAAATTGATGACTAGATGAAACTAGATGAAATGGATGAATTCCTAGAAACATAAGATGTACCAAAACTAAGTCATGAAGAAACAGAAAATCAAAATCTGTATGTAACTAGTAAGGTGCTTGAGTGCCCTCGAGCTTAATCCCTGGTACCCCCCACCAAAAAAACCCAAAAACTACAATAATTAAAACAATGTGTCACTGGCTTAGAAATAGACATACAAGCCAATAGAATTGACTATAGAGCCCAGAAATAAGCCTTCACTCTTGTCAAATAATTTTTTACAAGAGTGCCAAGGCCACTCAATAGGGAAAGGAAGTTTTATTCAGTAAATGATGCCTCTTACCTACCCTGCTGCCTCTACTTTTCTCATTAGTGAGCAGGTGGTAAACACCTGATAGGGGACTTGCACTGGGCTTCCCCACCACACAGGGCAGCATCGACGTGCAAATTAGAAGAAGGCACCCCCTTGCACCTTCCAGGATTAAGAGCAAGAAGGCACCTCCTGCTCCTGCTGCAGCATCATTGGGGGTGTGGAGAGGGGCCACTAGTGCCCTTGCCAGGTGCCCTGTCCAGGGCACACCCTGAACAATTATATGCAAGGGCTCAAAGTGCTAAGCATGGTGCTGAGCATGATAAGGAGGCAGCCCAAGGAACAGGGCATGCCCAGCAGGTCCAAGGAGGGACACCCAGAGGAGTGGCCTGTAAAACAGCATATAGTGAAGGGGGAGGGAAAACCATCAAAGGCACCTGCACTGTTTGGAATAGGAAGAAAGGCATGGGATGGGGGTGGGGATCAGGTTCTACTGCTGATTCCACAGTCTGGAGGGGTCTGTCCAAGCCCCATCATGCGGTCACAGCTCTGGAGGAGGAAGGAGGACTTCCCCAGCCTCCCTCCTCTGATTCTCTGCCATCCCTCTGCCCAGGCTGTTCCAAAATCTGTTCTACACTCGAGTTGTGTTCGGCACTGACACTGTGTACAAATACAGTTGCAGTAGGTGACAAGATCAAACTTATTTTATCTTACATATTTGGAGTTAGAGCCTCTTGATAGTCAACATGTAAATGTATTCAAACAATATGCAAAGCAAGGGCTTAACATGAGTTGAAAAAAATCTGGTAGCCTTATGGTGAGTTCTCTCTACAGAGGAACCTTTTTTTAGATACGACATTCCAGAGGGGGCCCCTCCTGGCCTTGTTTCTGTCTTCCCCCTTTCCTCCTTCACCTGATGCCCTTAATTAACCATTTATATAACTAGAGACAGAGCTAGTCCCTAGGCCACAGAGTTCTGAGCCTGGGATTCAATATGGCAACTACCTGGGAAGCTTGTAAAACTCAAATTGTAGGCCACTCAGTACAATTAAATTGACTCTACTGGTAACAGCCAGGCTTCAGCAACTGTTTAAGCTCTCTGGGGGTTGCAGACCAGCACCACTGGCCTCCTGTCTCTTCTCCTAGGAGACTCTCCCATCTCCCTGTGAGGAATCCGTTATCACAAAAGTGTGTTAGAAATGCAGAATGTGGGGCCCCATCTCTGCCTGTTCAGAATCTGTGTGTGGACCAGATCACCAGATGATGCAGATCCCAGGAGAGTTTACAAAGAACTACTCCAGGTGATCAGTCCTCAAACTTGGCAACACATGGAGATCACCTGAGGAGTTTTCATATCTGCTGCTGCCACATCTGTTCTATCCTTTCTGTCTACTGAATCAGAAGTGGCCATCACTGCAGAGGTCTGGGGGTGGCAGGAAGTGAACGCTGAAAGTCCTTGCTGAGCTTGAAACTAAAGCTAGGTTCTCATATAAAGTCCGTAGTGAAATAATAAACTTGTCTTTGTTAAGGGAGAAGGAAGTCTTCTTGTTTCTAACAGCTGCAGGATCTGCTCCCAGAAGGCTGAGTGAGGAAGGAACAAGAGATTTGAAGCAAAGTAAGTCCTTGTCACTGGCAGAGAGAAGTTCAGAGAGAGAGTGCAAGTGATCAGCTGGGGTAACGATGATTGCCTCAGCTCAGGAACCTGCAGGGTAGAGAAGGTGGTTGGAAATGTGATGAGGCCAGGCGTGGTGGTGCATGCCTGTGATCCCAGCGGCTTGGGAGGCTGAGACAGAATAATAGCATGGGCGAGGTGCTAAGCAACTCAGTGAGACCCTGTCTCTAAATTAATACAAAATAGGGCTGGGGATGTGGCTCAGTGGTCAAGAGCCTTTGAGTTCAATCCCCTGTACCAAAAAAAAAAAAAAAAGTGTGATGAGAACTTCCAATGAAGCTCCAGGCAGAGCTGAAAGTAGGGAAAGATTATGTCCTCTTTCCCTTTCATACTCTGGAAGAATACTCCATGGGTGCTCCATCGACCTGATCAGGGAGGACAGCAGATGCAGAGATACACGCTGCTGAGGCAGAGAAGCAGTGGAGTGGTCTGCTCTGAATCCCCAAGATGTGGAAGAAACTGGAACTTTCTGCATGACCCTTTTGCAGTATGCCTCAAGGGTTTGGTTGCAGTGCAGGATCAAGGGCACCTTGATCCAAACAGACACCCAGGCTGGGCAGGAGGACACAAATGGTTAGCCTCATAACTAAGCACACCTTGGACAGGGAGTGGGAGCCTACCAGTCAACAGGGCCAGGACCACACTCCCCAGGAAACTCTGCCTCTCCTATACCCAAAGGACACACCACAAGTCACCACCATCAGCACTAATCAAGACCCACAGGCCAAGGGCCACGAGACACAAGTGACTCTTCATCAGAGTTCACAGCAGATGTACAGGTTTCCTCTGGGCCCCCCAGAACCCAGAACAGGAGGGGAAGGCAGAGTCATGACACTGAATGGGCATTAAAGAGACTGCGTCCATGAGAAAAAAACTGAACCAGAAGAAAAAGACTCACTTCACATAGGAAGTTGGTTAGTATTTTTCTTGCCAACGTATAGGAATGGGAAATTCCTACCAAATTGAGAGTCATTACAGAAAATGAAGCCATATTTGTGCAACATGGAGATTACACTATCTGCATTTTCTTTGGGGGGACTAGGGATTGAACCCAGGGGTGCTTAAACACCGAGCCACATCCCCAGCCCTTTTTAATATTTTATTTAGAGACAGGGTCTCACTGAGTTGCCTAGGGCCTTGCTGAGGCTGACTTTGAACTCACGATCCTCCTGTGTCAGCCTCCACAGCTGCTGGGTTTACAGGTGTGCACCACCACACCCAGCAAAAAAAAAAAAGCATTTGACATCTTTTCTGACAAAACACTTAACAAACGACTGAAGGGAAACTCTGACATCTTACAGAGAACTAGGTTGAGAGCAGCACAGACAGAATCTCAAAATAAGAAACATCAGCCTGCCCTCGAGTTTGCTAAGACCCCATCATCACTCCAGCCAAGAGCCCCATCCATCTGGCTGGCCATGGAGAGTTCTCATCAATCGCATCCCAGTAAAAACCCACCTGGGTTTGACATGTGCTGGACCAACTCACTATTGGCCTAATAACCAATTTTTTTTTTTTTTTAGATAAAATGTTTTTATGGAGCTGGGGTTGTGGCTTAGTGGTAGACCACTTGCCTTGCACATGTGAGGAACTGGGTTCAATCCTCAGCACCACATAGAAATAAATAAACAAAAATGAAAGGATTGTGACCAT